GACAGGAGTTGGGGCAAAAAGTGCATCGTATTTAAAATCTAAGGGAAGTCTAAGAGTCAGAGGAGGAAAATTTCATGGAGAGACAACAGCGGAGCAGGAGTTGGAGTCACATCTCTACCAGAGAAGCTGGAGTCTGGTTAGAGCTAGCTTGTTGGATGTGAGAATCGGTGGTGACTTTGGTGAGAAGGGCTCAGGTGAGCAGAAAGAGAAGCCATGTTTGGAGGTGGCTTGGAGCCGGGAGTGGGGCGAGAGACCCTGCCTTCCTACAAATCTGACTAGGAAAGGGCGAGGTTGGACGAGAGCCAGAAGTGAGGAAAGGTAGCGTCTGTAGGAAAGACTTCACAACCTAAATTACTCTTCTTTTGTGTAGTAAACCTGCTGATACATGTTCCTTCATGTTTTATTTGTAAAGTTTCAGACTTACAGAAAAGTTGGAATAGAACTAACGTTACTGCAAAATGTGGTTAACATTTTGCCACAATTGCTTTATTATTTTTTCTTTCTTAACATAGATTTTTTTCCTGAACCATATGAGAATAAGTTGCAGACAGTAGGTACTTTTACTTCTCACTAGTTCATGTTTTAAGAACTCTTACATTTGTAATATAATCTGTTTAATACCCTTTACTCTCATAAGAAAAGACTTTTGAGACACTGTGTTGAAAAATAATTAGGACACCCCACCATCTCCTAAAATATTTTATGGTTATTTGTCTAATGGGAGGCTTAAACATAGAAAGTCTGGGACTTGGACTATACTATACTCAGTTCTGAAATAAAAAATATTCTTTTAGATATTGGTTTTTCTTAATTGGTAACCAATCAGCAGAAAAGGTAGAGGAACATGATGACTATTTGGACCTTTTTCAAAAAATAGTAAATGTTTGATTCCACAGTGTAACACTGTGTTATTTATTAATTTTATTAATTGTCTGAGAAGTGAAATAGATCAGTGAGGTTCAAAAGTCTTCCCTTCAAAATACTTACGTGTCAAATTGATCCCTGAAGTGTTGTCCCCTTTCCAGCATTGGACAAATATATACACCCAGCAGAAAATGTGAGTTTTGTTCCATCCCTTCCAAATACAGAATATTTTAGTTCATTTAGATAGTACTTAACTGTCCTAAATCCGCTGCCCTCTGGAGCATGTTTGTGTGGAGGAAGTCTTTCCCTTTCCTTCCCTGCTTTCAGTGAAAACGGGTGATGTATATTTGCCACAGATAGTGTATATTTGGAACACAAAACTCAGAAACAGGAATTATCATAAAATTGTGTCAGATCATCTTTCTTGAGCAGCTTTCCCTCTTTGCCAGGGTCTTTGGTGGTGAGGAGAGACAGCCTTCTGTCCTTGCCTTGCCCTTGTGGGATCTGTGAAGCTGATGACCATCCCCCCAGCCCCCACGATGTTTCCCCACGGCTGTTTATGGTTCCCTGCTCTGCTGTTCAGAGGGGAGAAGAGGGTTTTCATTTATATTTAAAAGCAGAGGATAAAAGCCAGCACTCTGGGCCTGAGATGGTGATGATGATGACAAAGATGGTGGTGAGGATGGTTAATCACCATCATCATCGTCATCCTCATCTCTGTTATTTCTAACACTGTGCATTCATGTTTCTTAAGAAAATATGAAAAAAAAGAAAGAAAATATGACAGGGGGGTTCCCTGGTGGTCTAGTGGCTTGGACTCAGCACTTTCACTGCCATGCCCAGGTTCAATCCCTGGTGGGGGCTGCACAGTGTGGCCTCCCCAAAATTAACTCTGAATCCTAAAAAAAGAAGAGAAAAAATATGGCAAGACTGGAAGTAATGTAAAATTTTAATTTCTAAGATGTCAGGGGTTATTTAGTAGCAGTGTTGTTTCAGTAGCTTGAAAGCTTTATAAATAATAACCCAAATGTAGTGTGTCTACCATGAAATGCCAGAAATAGCGTGTCTGACGCTGGGGAGTTTGCAGGCTTCATGTGATTTCTGTTCGCTGGTTTTGTTCAGTCTTTTTAGCCAAAGTTGGCTATTTGTGCTGCGTCTGTGATTTGGGACCACAGACAGTTGGATAAGGAAGTAATAGGCAGGAAACAATTAATACACTTTCAGCCCAGCTGTGTAGGTCTGTCCTGGGATTTCTTTGGGGCACTGAGCTGCTCAGGGTGCCCCTGGGTGCTCTGCCTGGCTCCCCACTCTCCTGTGAGACTTTGTCTCTGCGTATTTGCTTAGTCGCTCAGTCGAGTCCGACTCTTTGCAACCCCATGGACTGTAGCCCACCAGGCTCCTGGGGGATTCTCCAAGCAAGTAATGGGTAGCCTATCCCTCCTCCAGGGGATCTTCCTGACCCAGGAATCGAACCAGGGTCTCCTGCATTGTAGGTGGATTCTTTACCAGCTGAGCTACCAGCTGAGAGACAGGAGAAGCCCCGTCTACATATACCTTTAGGTTAAACGCTGCTGAAATGAGAAATGACACTTTTCACCTCCTACTCAGATATCAAAATAGTCTTTTAGTTTATATCAGCTCAACAGTGGTATTGGTCTTCTTTAAACCAACCACAACCTTGCTTATCTGGAATGAAACACTATTCCTGTTCAGCAGTAAATAAGTTTAACCTTGTTTAATTTGTAATGTTTATCTTCCCATCTCTTAAATTAACTTACTACCAACTCTTTGTTTTTCGTCTAAGTGAATATGGAAGTTTCCACCATTTTAGAGTAAATTTTTTTGTCTTTGTTGATGCTGAAAATTTAATGGTAAGATTTAAAGCTCTGTAGCGTGGTATACCGGAGAAGGCAATGGCACCCCACTCCAGTACTCTTGCCTGGAAAATCCCATGGACGGAGGAGCCTGGTGGGCTGCAGTCCATGGGGTCGCTAGGAGTTGGACACGACTGAGCGACTTCACTTTCACTTTTCACTTTCACACATTGGAGAAGGAAATGGCAACCCACTCCAGTGTTCTTGCCTGGAGAATCCCAGCGACGGGGGAGCCTGGTGGGCTGCCGTCTATGGGGTCGCACAGAGTCGGACATGACTGAAGGGACTTAGCAGCAGCAGCAGCAGCAGCATGGTATACTTATAAAGGGCAGCTCTACTGCTCTCTTCATTTTAAATGTGCAAAATATGTCCACAGAGAAAAACTGGAACATATAGAAAAGTGTTTTTTTTTAAAGGAAACACTCAAATGTGTTCCTTTTTATGACTAATATTCCATTGTATATATGTACCACAGTTTCTTTATCCATTCATCTGTCAGTGGACATCTAGGTTGCTTCCAGGTTCTAGCTATTGTAAATAGTGCTGCAATAAACAATGGGATACATGTGTCTTTTTCAGTTTTGGCTTCCTCAGGGTATATGCCTAGGAGTGGGATTTCTGGGTCGTATGGTGGTTTTATTCCTAGTTTTTAATGGAATCTCCATACCATCTTCCATAGTGGCTGTATCAATTTACTTTCCCACCAGCAATGCAAGAGGGTTCCCTTTTTTACACACCCTTCTAATGAGGTGGACAAACCTAGAGCCTATTTTACAGAGCAAAGTGAGTCAGAGAGAGAAATATAAATATCGTATTCTAACGCATATATATGCAATCTACAAAGATGGTACTGATGAATTTATTTGCAGGGCAGCAGTGGAGAAGCAGACATAGAGAGCAGACTTAGGGACACAGGGAGAGGGGAGGAGAGAGTGAGATGTCTGGAGAGAGTAACATGGAAACTTACTTTACCCTAAAAAAAAATAGACAGCCAATGGGAACTTGTATGACCCAGGGAACTCAAACAGGGGCTCTGTATCAACCGAGAGGGGTGAGATGGGGAGGGAGATGGGAGAGGGGTTTGGGAGGGAGGGGACATGGGTGTACCTAGGGCTGATTCTTGTTGATGTTTGACAGAAAACAACATAATTCTGTAAAACAGTTATCTTTCAATTTAAAAAATAAAGTGAAAAAGATGAAAAGAGAAAAAGTTCCCATGCTTGCTTTACACAAAAGAAGTACTGTGAACATTTTTTTTGTGTAGTATCTTTTAGTCCTTTTAAAAGCTAGATTACTTAAAACCACCACCACCAAAGCAATAAAATCCAAACCTGGGTGACATATAATTGTGGTGACACTGTCTACAAAATTTTTACCTTCATTTTCATTTAGCATGATAAATAGAAGCATTTTCCCAGTTATAAATCCATTATGCATTTTATAAACATTATTTGTAATAGCTACAAAATTTTCAATATGGTAAATTTGCCAGCTACTTTATGAAGTCTCTTATTACTGAACATTTAGATTATTTATAGTTTTCTTTTTCCTATTATAAATAATGCAGTAATGAACATCTTTGGGCTTAAAGCATTGTCTGCATGTGAGATCATCTCACTAGGATAGAGTCCCAAAACTAAATGAGTGACTCAAAGTTTCAGATTGCAGTCTGAAATTGCCATATGAGAAAGTATGTAATACTAATATTTAATGTAACTAGCAAAAGCTACTCACTGGATGTCTAAATTGAGCAGGCGTAGCTGATTTTAATTCTTTTTAATTACTTTTTCTCTCTCGAGTGACTCGACTTTTTAAAAGATTTTAATCAGGTAAAAGAAAATCTGGCATATTTAAGGCTTTTTGCAATTGTGCATGCTCTCTAGTAATAATAATATTGGTGTTTTACTGATATACTTGTGGCCCTTATTAATTTTTTGACTGTGACCTGTCTGAATCTGTGTTTTCTGTTCATAACCCCCCATGAAGCAGTATGATCCCTGCTTGGATAAGAGGCGGCCACTGGGTGCTTTGAGGAGGAGGCTGTCAGTGACTCAGAACTTCTCGCCACTCTGATTCCCAAGAAGCATGATGCAGTGACCATTTTACCCGAGGGTTTCCGAGGGCCTGATGTCGCTGGAACTGTCCCCTTCCACTGGGCGCGGTAACCACAGCAGGATGACCTTTCAGTGAACGCTCCAGGACATTCTAATTATGGAAGAAAATCAAAGTTAATCACTGCTAGTGTTTTCCCCTTCTCAAAGGGCAGTTCATTGCATCATGCAAACAAGTGACATTTCCTATTTCGAACATAGTCACCAGGGTATGTGGTTGATCATGGATTTCTTGGAATGCTGAGAAAAATGTTGCCTTAAAAATCTGTTTTCACCAAACCTGGCAGATTGCGGTAGGAAAAATGTAATAAATGTGGCATTCTCCCCTCCTCTTCTCCGTCACAAGAAACCTACCAGAGGGCCTGCTCGTATTCTGCTCCCCCCGGGGTCGCCACCATGCTGCCAGCACAGAGAAGATGCCCCCTGGCTGCCCTGCTCGGGCTGGGGGACACCGAGCAGGCTCGGAGCCTGACTCCCCGGCCTTGATCTCTCACTGGATCTAGAGAGGAGAGGAACAGGATAGGTGCGGAGCCCCTGGTTCTGGCATACTGACTGAACGCTATTTACTAGGTTGGCAAACCAGGGACCCCGAGTGAGCTGCGCCAGTCACTTGTGCCTTGTTTTCTTCTGCAGTCGCAATGGCTGTTTTAGTGGCAGGCCGGGCACTTGGCCGCCTGTGCCCCGTGTCTCAGTGTCTCGGGTTTTGCAGAGGACGGAGGGTTTTCATGTGTGCTGGTGTGTGTGCTTGAACTCATACTTGCCTAGAGTCGTCGAGTTGCATCCACCGTCCGCCGGATGGCTGGAGGGAGAACTCTCTGCGTCTCGGTGCTGCTGGACTGGAGCCTGCCATGCCCAGCGCTGAGCCCTCAGATGGAACAGAAGAGAGTCAGCACCACGCTTCTCGTGCTGGACTTATTACTGATTCAGCTTTAAAAATGAAATGTGACCGTTTCTGTTCGATGCTGGTGAACCGAGCAGCAGGCCTGTGATGGCAGGTCCTGAGGCACATTTATTTACCTGGATCTTCCGGTGTGGCTCTTCTGAATGCACGTCTTGTCCGTCCGGCTGCCTGTCTTCTATCCCTCTGAACCGCGACAGATCTGATTAAATACAGAACGGCTCGGCCCTGGCAGTTGCCTCTCAGATTTTATTATTAGTTTTGCATCCCGTTTCCTTGTGTCTGAGTCAAGTAGGACCCTCAGAGGCCACAGTATTCCCTTCTATATATTTCCCCAGAATTGACAGGTTGAAGTTATAGATTGAAGTAGGAGGTAAATTCTGGATTTAACGTTCTTCATATAAGGTATAGATCAGGTCTAAACGTGAGGAAAATACTGAAGGGTGATGATCTCATTTGCAGAGTATGAGTTTGACCTCTTGGAACTGTAGACGTGCTCTCAGCTGACATATTGGAACTGAGAGAACAGTCTTCAGAGTCTGTGGAATAGACTTGCTGTAAGAGAGGCAGACTGGTTCCTTTCCTGTCATTTACTCCTGCGTCGTCGGCGCCGAGTAGGAGCCAGGTCTTTCTTTACCTCAGACAGTTCTGGGCGTCGCACCTCGGTGCCCACATTCTGGTGTCACTCACCCAGCAGGCCTCCTCACACATAGCTCACACTGCATTTGCCCCGCGTTACATCTTCTGTTTTCCTGTCTTTCACGTGATATCCTTTTGTAATCTTATTTTCGTTTTTTATTTGGTTTATTTCCCCTCTTTAAGTGCTTTCAGATAATTCCTGATTTATATAACCATGATTTCTGTTCTCAGCCTTTCTGCATCTGCTCCACATGTGACCCTCATTTACATGTGTGGTGGTGACTGGGGATTGCTTCGGGTTACTTGGTGAGAATTGATCAGAGAATCTCTTGCCACCCTCTTGCTCTGTGTTCTTTACAGCACCTGTGAGCTTTTGGTGGTTTTGTGTTTGAAAGTAGAAATGCTGTCGGATCTATTACTGGGAAATCTCAGTATTACTGACTTCATTTGTCCCGGATGTTATTCAGTCCCACCTGCCTCTAAAATCAGACATGAATCTTTTTGTGGCCTGAGTGTTCTTGGTGCGTTTATGTTTTCATCCCCAGCACCCCCACATCCTTCGCCCCTCACTCAACACACAGTCTGACTCGATTCACGGCGGCCTCAGCTCACTCCTGGGTTCTGTGGCAGCGTCCCGCCCTGACTGCTTCCCCGCCCCCAGGCCTCAGCATTCCTGGGGCCCCGGGAGTGTCACTTTGTATTTCTTGCATGCAATGCCTGCATCAAGTTGGTTCTGAGTAAATATTTATTGACCGTTGAATAAAGTGTCTTTGCTGACTTTCAGGGTGTCATTTAGCTGTCCGCAGTAGCCAATTTTACCAATATTGCCCATACTAGACCTAGTTATTGTCCTGATATTAAAACATCAATGTTCCAAGTGGTGTTTTTCCTGTTCAGTGATAGCATTGATTCAGGCCTCAGGAGAGGCTGGTTGCTAGGAGATTCTTTCTCTTTGAATTAATCTACATGTGAGTTAATGGTTAGTTCTTGCCAGTTTTTCTTAAAAAAAAAAACACAAAGCTGAGAAGAGCTGCTTCACTTAATCATTCTCTTTGTATTTCCATTATTCAGCTTGTTTGTTGATTATTGTTGAGCATTTGGACTTTGTACACGGTCTCTGTCCGCAGTGCTGATCTGTAGGGCTGAGGACCCCGCTCAGCCTTTCCACAGGGCCCCCAAATCCCATTGGCCTTAGGCAGCACTGTCTGATCATCACAGGGTCCGGTGGCCTGTCAGACTGTCACCATCATCTTCAAGTGATTTGCTCAGGTAGCCGAAGAGAAGCCAGAATTCAATCTTGTCATCCTCAGTTATACATTTTTATCTTTTTCTCTCCTGGACTTTAAGTACCTTGTGCTTATTTTGCCGTCTCTCACCAGCTCTATTATCCAGGTTCTAGTTGCATCATTTGTTGTGTCTCTTGACTCTCACTTCTGATGGATCATTTCCTCTGAGTCATGTCATTTGGGATGAGGAGCCTGTCTTTGGAGGGTCTCAGAGAGGCAGACTTCTCCAGAGTGGTTTGCAGTTACTTCTGCCGGGCACACAGGGGTCTCACTGGCATGTGACCAGTTTGGTGTAAAAGTCTTGTCACAGGGTTCCCTGGACTATATGTGCAGAGTAGAGTGGAACTCCAGAACTTATTCAGCTTGTTTGTTGATTACTGTTGAGCATTTGGACTTTGTACACGGTCTCTGTCCGCAGTGCTGATCTGTAGGGCTGAGGACCCCGCTCAGCCTTTCCACAGGGCCCCCAAATCCCATTAGCCTTAGGCAGCACTGTCTCTGATCATCACAGGGTCCGGTGGCCTGTCAGACTGTCACCATCATCTTCAAGTGATTTGCTCAGGTAGCCGAAGAGAAGCCAGAATTCAATCTTGTCATCCTCAGTTATACATTTTTATCTTTTTCTCTCCTGGACTTTAAGTACCTTGTGCTTATTTTGCCGTCTCTCACCAGCTCTATTATCCAGGTTCTAGTTGCATCATTTGTTGTGTCTCTTGACTCTCACTTCTGATGGATCATTTCCTCTGAGTCATGTCATTTGGGATGAGGAGCCTGTCTTTGGAGGGGCTCAGAGAGGCAGACTTCTCCAGAGTGGTTTGCAGTTACTTCTGCCGGGCACACAGGGGTCTCACTGGCATGTGACCAGTTTGGTGTAAAAGTCTTGTCACAGGGTTCCCTGGACTATATGTGCAGAGTAGAGTGGAACTCCAGAACCGTGCTGGAGATTCAGACAGACCAGTGGGTACCATTCACTGCAGCGGTGGGGAGCTTGGGAGACGTTTACCCTTCTGAGGCCCAGCTCCATTTGGGTTTATAGATAACTTTGTTTTCTAATTCAGTTTTTGTTGCAGTTGTATCTCTTTGAGGGTCTCAAGCATCTGTTCTAACTTATATCCCCTCTACTGGCTTATATCCTACCCTGCAGGACATTAAAATAAGGTAACTTCCTGAATCAGGACATTATTAATAAAGAGGATAGAATTGGTTATTGTGTCAGAATAATTGGTGTGAACCAAGACATGTGGTCACCTTGGTTGAAACCCGAGACCCAGGGCACACAGCCAGACAGCTTTTGCTCTGCCAGAAGACTCCACTTCACTCTTTGGTTAGAGGCTCGAGCCATTTCCCTTGCCTCACTCTCTAAGCTTTTCAATGGATGTCTTATATTTTATCTCAGATTTCTAGGTGCTTGTAGTGTGAGAGCTTATAGTTTATGCAGTTGCTGTATTGGCAGAACAGTCTCTCTTTAGCCTTAAACATTTAGGATCTTTTCTCTCCTTTGGTTCATCTTAACAAAGAATATTTGAAAGGGGCAGTGGAGAGACTGGAGAGAGGGTGCTGGAGCGAAAGAGGAGACAGATACAGGGAGAGGACAAGAGTGAGTAGGAGACTGAGAGATAGGCAGTTTGGAAAGAGGTGGATGGAGAGACAGAGCACTTGAATGTGAGTCAGATGTGTGCACAGACCTAGGCTGGAGTCCCACCATGCATAGGTGTGCCCCCAGGAGAGTGAGAACAGAAAGTGACCAAATGTGAGTGCATTAGAATATTTGTGAAAAATAGACATGAAGTCTGCAGGGGTACAAAAGATGGCTTTGGAATCGGCGGAATTGTAGTCGCAGCAGTTTGCTGCCACGGCAACAGCAGCAGGGTTTATAAACAGGGGTGCTGATGCGGGATGTGGGGATTGGGGCTGGCCCGGTGGCAACCCGTGGAGCAAACAGTGGGGTCAGGTTCTGATGAATGGAGCACTAATGAATGGAGATAGTCACTGATCTTCAGGCAGAGGGCCAATAGTGACTAAAAATAAAAGTAAACCAAACTGATTTAAAATGAACAGGCTTTATTTGTTGATTTTTCATCATTGCTTTGCAGATCCCAGTCACACTTAGCAATATGACTACCTAAAATTGAAATTAGAAGTTTAAGATTATGACCATGTCAAATACATTTGTCTAAAGATAGGAAACAGGCCTGATGGGATCATCTGAGGTTAACTTGGGGTTGTTTGCTGACTGCAGTTGGTCTTAAAACACTACCGAGTGCTCACGGGGTCCTTGAGTCTTTGGCCCCTACTCACTGATGCTGTCAAGCCCGAAGGGAACAGCTCGTCTCTTGGATGAGTCACTGGAACATGACCAGCCTGAGACCAGGCAGTGCGGAGAAAGTGGGTGGGAGGTAAAAGTTTCTGGTTTTTGCAGATCGTCTTTTATGTCTCCTCATCTATTCTGATTAGACCCCGCACTGCTTAGGCCTTGCCGCACCATCATGTTTTCCTTTTTCTGGTTTTCCAGACCGTCAGTCATGGATTGTAACTCCCACTTACCTTAGGCATCATCACAGGGATCTTTATAGCACTGGTGCTGGTTTAAGAGCCGAGACAAACAGGGCTATGACATCTGTGGAAAGGAAAGAAAAAACTAGGCTACGTGGCATGGGAGAATATAGTCATTTCTCAGTAACCACAGGGGATTGGTTCCAAAATCCGTGGATGCCCAAGTCCCTCATAAAATGGCATGGATTTGCATATAACCGACCACATCTCTCTATACACCTTAAGTCATCTCTAGGTTACTTATAATACCTAATGCTATGTAAATTTTATATACAGTGTTGTAAATATGCAATACAAATGTTATTTATGAGATGCCCATGTGTGGCAAATGTATTATTTTTGACCAGAGGTTGATTGAACCCACAGGTGCAGTTCCCACAGACATGGAGGGCTCACAGCATTGCTGTATTAAATTCTGTCAGTTTCTTTCCAGTTTTGAATAAAGGGATCCTATCATGCCTTGTACTCAGCCTAAAAGTGGACTGAAGCATTGTGACCGAGTATTTCTGTTTTCACCTGAAAGTCTGGCGATAGACTCTTAGAATGTTCTATTAGTATGAGGCGCTCAGTCATGTCTGACCCTTTGTGATCCTGTGGACTGTAGCCTGCCAGGCTCCTCTGTCGAGGGGATTTCCCAGGCAAGAATACTGGAGTGGGCAGCCCTTTCCTTCTTCAGGGGATCTTCCCAACCTAGGGATTGAATCTGCGTCTCCTACATTGGATTCTTTACTGCTGAGCCACCTGGAAAGCTTAATAAGTATCATCATCATAAAGAAGGAGTGGAGTTACATGTGTTTCCCGTCCCGGTCCCCCCTCCCACCTCCCTCTCCACCCGCTCCCTCTGGGTCTTCCCAGTGCACCAGGCCCCAGCACTTGTCTCATGCGTCCAACCTGGGCTGGTGATCTGTTTCATGTCAGCGTATGACAAAAACCACTACAATATTGTAATTAGCCTCCAATTAATAAAAATAAATGGAAAAAAAACAAAATAATAAAAATAAAATCATTTTTTAAAAAAAGGAGTGGGCTGAAGTCAACTTCAGGGACTCCACATCTAAAACTGCCTTTTCTCTCTGAGGCACAGTCACCTCCAAGGGGTCTCTGTGACAGCCATCAGGGGTTGCCTCCAGGGTACAAGGCAGAGTGCCAAAGTAGTGATGCCTTTGAATTGTGGTGCTGGAGAAGACTAGTGAGAGTCCCTTGGACTGCAAGATCAAACCAGTCAATCTTAAGGGAAATCAGCCCTGAATACTCATTGGAAGGACTGATGCTGAAGCTGAAGCTCTAGTATCTTGGTCACCTAATGTGAACAACCAGCTCATTGGAAAAGTCCCTGGGAAGGATTGAGGGGAGGAGGAGGAGAGGGCGTCAGAGGATGAGCAGGCTGATGGCATCACCGATGTAATGGACTTGAATTTGGGCAGACTTTGGGAGATGGTGCAGGACAGGGAAGCCTGGCATGCTGCAGCCCATGGGGTCACAAAGAGTCAGACATGACTTAGTGGCTGAACAACAGCAAAGAATAATAAAGTGCACAGTAAAAGTAATGCACTTGAGTCACCCCCAAACCATCCTCCCCACCCAAATCTGTAGAAAAACTGTCTTCCACAAAGCTGGTCCCTGGTATCAAAAAGGTTGGGGACCACTGGCTTAGAGACCTAGGCTTTGACCTGCCACTCAGAACGGACTCGGAAGCCATTGCCCTTGTGTTCTCTCCTGATTGGCAGGTAGATACTTGTCACCTCAGAGGATATGATCCTCAAGTTAAAATGAGCAAAGAGCGGCTTCCCTGGTGGTCCAGGGGCCAAGACTCGGTGCTTCCAAGGCAGGGGACCCCCGGTTGGATCACTGGTCAGGGAACTAGATCCCACCTGCTGAGGTCCGAGGCACCCCAATAAATAAATAATAAATACAGTAGATATATATATTTTTAAATGAAGTGATAGAACACAAAAACAAACAAGGAGTCAGGGCCCCAGCCAGTGTGGGCCACAGGCACCATGAGGGCTCTCTTGGTCTGATTCTCTTTCTTTCCACCAGCAAGTCACAAACGCCCACCTTCCACCAGGTCATGAGCTGCCACACCTTAATGCAGGTGGCACCTCAGGCGGAGACACCGTCATTCTCTCCCTCAAGGCAGGCTCCAGAGAAAACTCACAAGCACAGACACGCCAACACCCTCCAGAGCTGAGGCTGCCCTGAGCCCAGCAAGCTACTTGTGAGGGCCCTGGATGCCCTCAACAACAACAACAACAACTTTCCTCTTATCTTTGACTGGATGAACTATTAAAGCTAAGGATAAGATCCCTTCTGTTTTTTCTTGGTGTTGATTAGATTTCTTTGCAAATTTATTGAAATAATGGAACTCAAAAGTTTTCACTGTGATGTTGGAAGCTAATTTGAAGACCGTTCTGACTTTCCATTAATTTTGGTCTTCTCTCTTCCCTCCTGTAACTTTATTCTTTTCTTTTGCTTAACCATTCTTTCCGTATGGAATTTTTTTTTAATTGAAAAAACTCCCTTGTGATGGGATTCTGATTGTTTATACTGGACAAGCCTGTCACCCTTGGAGACTGTTCTAAGGCAGGATTACAAAGGCAGATGCCAGTAGCAGGGAGGAACTGAGAACAGCCCCAAGGAGTGGGTGGTGGGGCAGAGGGTGAGGACTGGGCACTGGGGTTTTAGGTCCTGCCAGTTGCTACCATTGGGGTGGGGCCCGGTGTTGCTACATGATCTGATTTCTCAAGAGAAGCTGGAAATACATTTTTTTTCCCTTTGTGATATATGTTTGAAATACAGAAATTATACATGGGTTCAAATTTATTAAAAAAGAAAGAAAATGAATGAATCAGACAAAACACATCTGTGGCCCTGATTATGCCCACAGATGGGCAGTGTGAGCTATTGCTCTAAAGGATTTTACCTTTTCAGAAAATAACCGTCTTAATTAAGCAGAGTGTGTTGATACCAATTTGGCTGAGATATCCTATTTTAATCACATTTAACAAGGAAATACCACTCACTTAACTGTGGATTTAGATGAGTCAGTTTTAGCACATACCTCTCCTTAATTAAGTGTTAGGACTTTGTCCTGCTATTTTGTAGTTAAACTTGGTGCAGAACAGACTTTTTAAAAGAAAATGGAGTTTTGGGCTAATAGATCTCCAGCCAGGTGTCTAATTTTATGTATGACTTTCTCAAGTTTCTAAATAGCTAAGTGTTCTAAGTTGAACCTGGAAGAATCTATTAACACAGTAACTGTTGGTTTCTTCCAGAATCCTTGAGTGTCTTAGTAATCTAAGGTTTAAAAAATTGAAAATCTTGACTCCCTCTAGTTATCAGATGGGTTTTCATATATCTTCTTTTTCTTTCTTTAAAGATTTGAACATGGAATTCAATCCTTCAGACCATCCTCGGGCCAGCACGATATTCCTCAGTAAATCTCAAACAGACGGTAGGTTCTTTCTTCTTTTTCTTTTTTTTTTTTTTAAGACTTACGTTGGTAACTAGCCTGTCTTGATTTTCCAGTCGCTGTGATTCTCAGGATAAAGATAGAATCCCCTTTAAGTGACCACTAAGGATGTTTGGGTGGTTACCCTTTGGGGTTTCTTTACTTTATAGTAAGTCATATTTTTAGAATTTACTATTTGACGCAATTGTCCTCATTTTGCCAATCAGTTGGGATAGTTCTAGGCAGTTTCTACCCTGAGAATCAGAAACTTTCCTTTAAAAATTTATTATTTGCATAAATTCTCTAAAGATCAGAAGTATTAGGTAGTATGTAAAAAGAAATCATAATACAACTCTAAATAAAAACACCATTATCTCAGTTGTGTCATTTGAGAGCCAGATTGAACCTGTACACTAGGGGTGGATGTTTTCCTTCTGTCATACTTGTGTTAAGCTGGTTGTTCTGTGGCGTGGAATTTCTTCTGAGGGATTTTCCCCTCTTTTCAGCCCTTGACTTATGTCACCGTTCCCTGGCCCTTGACTACAAAGGAGAGATAAAACACACAGTACAGTGAAATGCAGCCTGTTCCTGCAGAAAAAAGCAGTGGAGGAATCTGTTAAATGATGTCGTAGTGACAGTGCTGAGGTCCTGGGGGTTCTAGTCGTGACTCTTGTCAAATTGCTAAGCTCTCATTTTGAGAAGATCCTAATTTGAATAGAAAAATAATCAAACATATTTAAGGCAGTTCATTTTAAGAACTGATAATTCCTCAGTTATGGCTAGGTGACAACTTTGATGTAGCATAATGCTGATATAATATTGGTGATCTTGATTTAAGCAGGCCAGTGATGAGATCTGAGAGAATTTGGTGTGTTTATTTTTTTTTTTAAGTGTATAAGAAGAAATCACTGTAGGCATCAAATACTTGTGAGATAAGTTTTGAATGTTTTGGGTGGAAATTAAGCAGGACATTTTTTTCTTCACCTGGTGAAGTGGGAGCCCATGGAGAGGGGAGGGTATTGCCAGGCAGGAAAGTGGTGGTGGGGTGAAGGTTTGGGACAATGAGAAATGAGAGTCAAAAGCAAGTTTTTGCACTTAATATAGTACTATGAAAACAACTTACACGACTGGCACATTTTCAGATTCGGTTCTCACTTCCTGTGAATTCAGGGTACAGACCAACATCAGTCAGAAGCTTTTTACCTATATTCACATGGAATGGCACTAGAGCCTTTTAAGTGGGTGACATGTGGCGTGGTTGTCACGGGGAGACGGATGGCAGGGTCCTCTGACCTCACAGGATCCCTGGGTGTGAGTCAGGAATGTGCATCTACCCCTTCCTTCTCACCCTGCCCTCCTCCACTGATCGTTGGGGTGTTGGCAACTCTCGTCCTTCTGTTTTTCCTTCATTCCTCAAATGCTGGGTCTTCTCTTTGAGTGTAAAGGATCTGCTTGAGTCTCACAGGTTAAAAGCAAGGAAGAGGAACCGACACCGTCTCTGTGCAGTTCCCTGTCTCCCAGCCTGCAGAGCGAACCCTCCTGTGCCACCACCTCCTCCTCTTTGCCTCCACTTGCCCACTAGGCTCTTCCTCCCGCCACCCCCATTCAGGGGATGTGTTTGCAGTGAAACACTGAAGAATCCATAGGTTCTACGCTACTTGGGTTATGTGTCAAAAACTCCAAGGGATTTATCATCCAGAATCCCTCCTAATCGCTGCAGTTCAGTCTTAATCTCCTTCAGTTCTGTTGACAGTAAGGAATTAGAGTCCACTTAATCGTAAGACTTTCTCACCTGGTTGTGGGAGCTCCTTAAAAGTAAGGAGTTTCTGGAAAGTACACCCTAAAGCCTGTGAATGACTGTCACTCGCGTCCACTGTCATTGGTGGCATCTGGGCTGACCTGACACACTCAGGAGCCTGGAAAGAGTGGACAAGGGGCCTGCAGCATCCGCGTGCCCTCTGGAGCAGCCGCAGGTCTCTTCTCCACGCCAGGCGCAGCACCTCACAGGCAAGGACCTCACATCCACACTTAGTGAAAGAGCCTCACCTGCCCTTTTCCTTTCAGCTGATGTTCCTTTTGATTTAAATATATCTCTATCCTCTCCAGTGACCTGCTTATTAACTGTGTTGATTGATTACTATGTTGTTGTTGTTCAGTCACTAAGTCCTGTCCGACTCTGCGACCCCATGGACTGCAGCATGCTAGGCTTCGCTCTCCTTCACTATCTCCCCAAGTTTGCTCAAACTCATGACCATTGAGTTGGTGATGCCACCCAACCATCTCATCCTCTGTCGTCCTTCTCCTGCCTTCAGTCTTTCCCAGCATCAAAGTCTTGTCCAGTGAGTAAACTCTTCACATCAGGTGGACAGTGTTGGCACTCCAGCTTCAGCATCAGTCCTTCCACTGAATATTCAGGGTTAATTTCCCTTAGGATGGACTGGTTTGATCTCCTTGCAGTCCAAGTGACTCTGAGAAGTCTTCTCCAGCACCACAACTGGAAAGCATCACTTCTTCAGCACTCTGTGTTCTTTATGGTCCAGCTGTTACTCTGTGCTCTGCACATTCAGTCGTGTCCAACTCTGTGAGACCCCATGGACTGTCGCCAACCAGGCTCCTCTGTCCATGGGATTTTCCAGGCAAGAATACTGGAGTGGGTTGCCATTCCCTTCTCCAGGGAATCTTCCCGACCCAGGGATCAAACCTGGGTCTCTCGCACTGCAGGCAGATTCTGTACGGTCTGAGCCAGCAGGGAAGCCCCAGAACACTGGAGTGGGCAGCCTGTCCCTTCTCCAGGGAATCTTCCCGACCCAGGGATCAAACCTGGGTCTCCTGCACTGCAGGCAGATTCTGTACGGTCTGAGCTACCAGGAAAGCCCCAGAACACTGGAGTGGGCAGCCTGTCCCTTCTCCAGGGGATCTTCCTGACTGGACCCTTACTCTCTATACTCTCATAAGGGAGTTTTCAGGAAAGAAAATGCAAAACTCAGTGATACTAGGTTGTTAAAAAGCTCCTCTGGGTTCCCTGTCTCCCCCCTCTACATCTTTGAGGTTGAGGGCCCCCATTTTGAGAAACATTGAGGTCTGGGAAACGAAGGTGGGGTGCTGACCCTGTCACACACACAGCAGCGTGAGAATGGTCTCTAAGAAGGGGTGCTTTTGTTGTGAGTTTGCTCGGCCTCCCTGAGGGGGCAGGGTGCTCTGGGAGGCCTCCCAGCACCAGCGCAGAGAGTAACTGGTTTCCAGTGATGCTTCCGACGTCCAGTATCCTGTATTTTCATCCAGTTATGGGTAGTATTGTTATCATTTGTTGTCTAGTCACCAGGTCGTGTCATATTTCACCCTAATAGTATGGGCCTTTATGGGTCTGTTTTGGTTAGAAATAAATAGCCCTGCTTTTTGTTGACCATCTTAATTAGTGGCTGCATGCAGAATTTTATGAGCTTTACTAGTTACTGTTTTCTTTAGTTATTGGGAAGCCGTTACCACTCCATTAACTATGGCGCAGTGGTTTTGTTGGGTGCTGTGGTGTATGTGGTTTTATGTTCTGCTCTCTTAGCATAGGTCACATCTGCATGTGTGCAGATCATTTCTTAAGTCATAATTGAGCAGTTGGATATGTTGGTTGGTGGAAGGATGGGGCCTTGACACAGAGGCCCGTCCTCAGCAACCTGCCAGGGGTTAGCACGCAGGCGTGTAACATTTCTGTTGCATCTTTTGTTTTCACAGTGAGAGAAAAGCGCAAGAGTCTCTTCATTAACCATGTAAGTGGAACTGTTCCCCTGTGTTCTTCGTAATAACTGTCCAGAGACCATCCACACTGTGTGTGCGGTGGGGAAGTGGTCCATGAATCTTGTCTGCACATGGAAGAGTGTGAAGAAGGCTGCAGGGCACTCGTGCTTTGTTTGGCCTGTGGCTGGATGGGCACGGCTTGGCATTTATCACCAGGCCAGTGTGGCCTGAAGCCTCGGGCTGCTGCTGCTCCTGGGAGGGTGTGCGTGGATAGTGCGGCATCAGATTCCACAGGTCTTTTCCTGCCTCCCTTCCCCCCAAGTGACTGTCTTCTAACTCAGTCCCATTTGAATAAGCAAACACATGTTTTCTTCCCCCTTGTTGTTTATAGGTCCAACAGAGTCTGCATGTTCCTTCGATGCTCTAAGAAAGGATGAACTTGACAACACTTGAATTTTAAAACGAATTAAAAAAAAAAAAAACCAGCTCTAGTCTCTCAGCCATTCTGAGCAGCGTCTCCCTGCCCTGCTGGCCAGACATAAAGACCCTTGATTTTTCTCTTCTGATCAGTGGGTACAGCCAGCCTCCCTCCACCCTGCCCAGGGGTGACCTCAAGCTGCCCCTCAGGACTGTGGTGCCCGGCCACCAGGAGATCTATGGCCATACCTCCTAATCCTCTAAACTTAGGCCTCTTGATGAAGTAGGTGTGTTACCAAATAAGTATATGCCATCAATTCTCATATCGAAAATGAGAATGATGTATTTGATTTCTCAGTGGTTTTTCTCAGGATTTCTAAACTGTCTGCATTTAAGTATTTGTGGATCTTGAAGTGCTTGGCTCTGGAGCTTTGTGCTAAACAGACTTAAAGCCATAGTATTGCCTCTTCTGCCCTTTGAAAATCTGGGCAAAATGCAGTTGAAAAAAAATTCATAGCCGGACCCTTGCACCCAAAGGGCTCCACGCTCAGCCCATAGGAGGTTGGTGAGTCCTTCATAGGCAATGGTCTCAGGGTTGGAGAGATGCCCTATAGTTTTTATCAGATTCTTACAGCAGTTCACGGCCTGTTTCTGGCCCTCTCCAGTTTTGCCACGGCAGTGTGAAGCATCTGTGAAATTATGAGCTGTGTCTTAGGGAAAATATGCTGGAAATTGCTATGCCCTTTTTGATTTTTTTTGAAAGCTGTATCTGCCTGGACCTAGAGAGGTGGGAGGTTTGACCCCATTCTGTAAACCCTCATTCCCGTCTCTTCACGTGCCTGAGGCACTAGAACACTGCCCCCCGCTTCGCACGTCTGTCAGGAGCCTGTAGACCGCCTCTGCTGGTCACTGCAGCCACATTCAAGTGGCTGGAGGGGAGGTCTGCCCTCGTACCAGCCACACGCCCCGCATGTCTCCCCCGTGCCCCACGACTTCACGCTCTGCGGCACACCATCCTGGCACCTGCCCCGCACCATGCCCCCTGACTCAGCGTGTCCTCTCACCTGCCAGCCTCTCGCCCCCCGACACAAAGAGCGGAAGCACAGTTGCTGGAATGTGCTCAGATATGCTCATTCCTATAAAAGAAATCTCTCTGCTGCCTTATGCAACAGATGCCCCGGTAACAGCGTGCCCTCCAGACCACATTGCACAGTAGCATCTCGGCTCTGCCCACGCTGGGAGAAGCCACTGGAATGTGCCGTTTCAACCAACTGAAGTAGAATTGGAGTGGAAGTACCTGCAGGTTCAATTAGGCTAATAAACCAGCTGTGCTTTTCAAGTTTTGAGACACTTGAGTGTCATAAGTTAGGGCAATAAAGAGACGATAAGTGGTAATAATAATCATCAGTACAGTCTAGCCAACATTTTATACCATGTTTGTGCCAGACTCTGTTCTTTAGTTTAACGTGCTTGATAACTGTGTCCAGGAGGTACTGTGTGTCACTCCAGTCTTCCATATGGGGAAGGTGAGGCACAGAGAATCAGCCATCTGAGCAGTGGAGCCAGCCCGGGGCCCAGGGGGCTGGCCTGGGCCATTCAGTCCTCAGACAGTCATTCCAAGCACCACCCGGACACAAGTTGTTTAGCTTTTTATCTGAAGACAGAGAACACTGTTTTCTGAACTGGGGCCCCAGCTAACATTTATTATTTCTTTTGTTGTTGAACTCTGGAATGACCATTATTCTTTGCCCTTGTTTATAAAACCTGTTGTGTTTTTTATTTGTTTTATTGTGAGGGATGTTGTTTCTTTTAATTTACCCTTCAAGTTTCTGAAGAAGCTGCTTATTAGTACATGCTGCTAAGACAATCTTTAAAGAGGCTACTATTTAAGAAAAAACAGTGGGTGTAGGTAAGCCATGTGAGGAAAGGTGAGGGGTGATGGTCACAACAGGAAATAGCTTCCACCAGGTGGAGAGAAACAAGGTCTTTTCTGGCTCCAGTACAGTAACACAGTCTAGCAAGTGATGGAAGCTGCCTTTGGGTACCGCCTCCAAGGAAGGGGCCAAAAGAAGGAACCCCTGGCTGGAAAAGAGGGTACCACTCGCTGGCTGAGAACTGCCAAGAGAGACTTACAAAGTAAAAGGAGCTTCTTCTAAAAGAATTATTATAGATTTTAAATCTTGAAGCTATTTGAGGGTAAACCCTTGGGGGAGTTTTAACAGTAAGTTAAACCAGGGCATATTATAAAGATTAATATTCTAATCAGCACTATGTTTTAGATGTAATTATCAGATCAACAGTTACAGGAAAATTTAATACATTACAATAGAGACACAGGTATTTTAGCAAGGATTGCGTAAAGGGCTTTAAAGTTCATAGCTTGCTTAAAATTTGCTGAAGTTTTGGCTAGCTGTTTTAATGAATCTTTTAATTAAGATGCGGTAGTCTCTGATTATAAATTGTGGGTGGCATTGTCGGTGGCTGAGAGTCTGGAATCTCTCTCCTGAAATTTAGGGAAAACGCACATCTTTTGCTTTAGCTTAATTTTTCTGTGACGTTCTCTTCCCCTTGATGACAGTGTACTTGAAGGGAATTGATCATTCTAAGTTAAAGAAAAAATTAAAACAGAGTGAGTCAGGAGTTGAATGGCCAGCCTCCTTCACCCTCAGCAAAATGATCACAATTATTTGTCTTAATATTGAGACAGGTGGTAGCTATAAAAACTTCACAAAGGAATATAGAGCGTTCTTTATCAGTTTAGCAAGAGCCATATTTGGAGCTGGACTTGGAGCCAAAAGAATTTTGTTCAAGCCCTAAATCTACCAGCTAATAAAAGGGGGACCTTGAAAAAGTCTTGAAGTCATAGTTGTCTGATCTCGTAGAATGACTCCTGGTCCGCCTGTTTACCTAGTGGACTGAACAGAAGGTGATTTGCAGAAGTGATTTTAGCACCATCTGAGTATGCTGATGTTATTATTGTTATTGCTCATTAGATTTGTAGGTAAATTTTGTGTTTCCAAGTTCAGTAGCAAAACTGATCAAAGTCTTTCTGGTATTTTGAGTACGGGTATAGTTTTTTCGTAAGTATTAAGCCATAGAAGTTAAGGAATGAAGTGAATGTGATCCAGGAGCTGAAATTTTAAAAATTCTAAACCTTGCTTTTGCCTCTCTGGGAGCTTTGCTCTTAACAGAGTACAGATTTATTGAGTACAGTCCCTGCCTGCCTCTGCCACACGAGAGTTCAAACAAGGAACCAGGCAGGGGCGCTGCCCTGGGCGCAGAAGCCTTTCTGTGGAGGGATCCTTGTTCTCTCAGCTTTTTTTTTTTTTGGTGGGGGGGGTGGATGTCAGATCAAGAGAAGTATACATTCTGTGAATCTTGTAGCCCTTCTATCCAGCAAATGACTTAATGCCCAAATACGGTTTCAAACTTAACCCCATTATAACAATGCCAAGGACTTATATTCAATTTAGAAATTACTAAATAGTTTGAAGGGAGCTTCCCTGATGGCTCAGATGGTAATGAATCTGCCTGCACTGTAGGAGACCTGAATTCCATCCCTGGGTTGGGACCCCGTGGAGAAGGGATTGGCTATCCACTCCAGTATTCTTGCCTGGAAAATCCCATGGACAGAGGAGCCTGGTGGGCTACAGTCCATGGGGCTGCAGAGTCAGAAAGCTGAGTTGGCAACGCCGTTTGGCACACCAGCCCTTAGTGATAGAGGGCTCCGGCCAACAGCTGGCAGATCTCAGGCCAGGACCGGCTCCTGGGGGGTACTGGTTTCCAGTTAACCCTGTGACCCCAAAGGGCACTGCACTCCTGCAAGGAGGACGAGGGAGTGCCCACTCTGTGACCTGGTGCGTCACGACCTCCTCTTCTTAACTCTAGTGCTCATGTTTTCTTAGGGAAACCATTTACTCTTGGCTCTTCCCATCACATTTTCATCTTGAGGAAATTTGTGTCAGAGGAAACAGTAGAAACCTCACAAATTAAAAAAAAAAAGGAAACCTCACAAATAGAAACCAGTCATTGCTGTCCTTTGCGTCACTGTTGTGATTATTCCTAAATAATAATTTTCTTGTATCTCTAAAGATTCTTTAACATATCAACTAATTACTGAATTTTTGTGTTAAGTATATCTGTTGAGGTTTCTGTTTCAGGTAGATTTTCCATTGGTGGGGAAAATTTCATAAGGATTTTTAAAACTTGCCACACATGTTAATAACTATTATTAGATTGCAAGTTTTTGTCTGTGACTCAAGTGTGATTGCTACCTGACCCACAAAAGAGATCAAAATGGTTTTTAATGCCTCCGGCTTGTCTTAATGAAACTGTTGTGATTAATTTGATAGACGTGAAAAATGCCATGTTAAAATTGCACTCAGGTAACTTGAACTTGACAGGCTTTTTTGGTGCCCTTATCTTACACAGGCACAGAACAATGTGTGCCTAAACACACTGGCCAAGAACAAGCCTTATCTTTTGAGTTCCCTGACTCTGGTTATTTCCTCCTGACCCACATGGCCTTTGTAAAAGCCGCGCTTAGGAGGGTCCTAGCGATTCAGTAGTGCAGTGCCCTCTGCCGGGGATTTTAGGAACTGTATGCCTCAAGGAGTGACGATTAGCAAGAGGGGAGATTGTTTATTTTTTTTTCCATATTTTTTATTAGTTGGAGGCTAATTACTTTACAACATTGCAGTGGTTTTTGTCATACATTGAAATGAATTAGCCATGGATTTACATGTATTCCCCATCCCGGTCCCCCCTCCCACCTCCCTCTCCACCCGATCCCTCTGGGGGGAGATTGTTTATAATGCTGTCTTCTGTTTCTTAGGCTGTTGCATATTTCCATAATTTTATCACATGGGAAAGTGAAAGTCACTTATTCGTGTCCAACTCTGCAACCCCATGTACTATACAGTCCATGGAATTCTCCAGGCCAGAATACTGGAGAGAGTAGCCTTTCCCTTCTCCAGGGGATTGTCCCAACCCAGGTCTCCAGCATTGCAGGCAGATTCTTTACCACCTGAGCCACAAGGGAAGCCCTAATCACATGGGAAACCTTATTAAATAAGTAAATGTTAAACAGGGCGTTTGGTCTCTGATGAGCTTTAAGGCTCCTTTCGTGTTCATAAACCGTGGGTACTGAGTGCTTCCCTGGGGGTGGGCAGGTGAGTCAGGGCAGGGTTATTATCCTTAAGGAATTAATTGTTGTGGTTGCTGAAAATGACACTTTTGATTGTCAGCATAGCACCAGGCCAGCCGAAACTCGTTTGGGTGATTTGATTCTTTTTTTTTTTTTAGTATGCTTTGAGCAAGAATGATCCAGATTGATATCTACTAATCACATTGCCCACATAATTGCCAAAAATCTACTTACTATTCAATTAGATGTCATCTGCGTGTAATTGAAATTCTGTTTTCTCTAACAGTATGTTTGAGAAGTATACTTCTCAGTTCTAAGGTTTTCCAAAGAGCTCAGAATTTACACTGCCTGAAAGAACCAGGTACACAGCTGCCACAGGCGCCCCACCTGAAGCTCCTCCACTGGTCATATTTTCAAAACATCAGATGACTTTCACCTTTAAAATGTATTTTGCCCTTAAAGAAGGAGTACTTTTTTCTTTACATCTTCACCTCCTGAAATTGAAGAGTAGGAGATTCTTAATTCACAGTGACTGCATCTTCCATGGTCCCCAAATCAACTGTACCTCGGGGGTAGGAGACAATGGGTGCTGTGGGCTCCTGTCTTGATTCTGGAGCCTCGCACCAGGCTGTCCCCTGCAGCGTGGGCTTTTGCTGGGGAGATGAGCGCATGCTGCTTGTTTCTCAGGGATTTTTATGGACTCTGCAGCACACCCTTTGGTGCTCGATTTTGGGAGTGTGCTGAGCTGATGGAGGTTTAGGACTGGGAGTGGTGGTGGTGATTTTTTTATATGGAAGAACATGGAATTCCATTGTGGGAAGAAAGTGAGTTTTGTGCTGTACTTGCTGGTAGTATTAACATTTCTCGGTTAGACACTTTTCCTCTATAGGCTGGTCTCAAGGTGAAGGGGATGATGGTCCTCAGAAGAATTTTGAGCCCCTTTTTAATTGTTTTTGTCTTGTTGCCATTGTTTTTGTAGCATCCTCCAGGACAAATAGCGAGGAAATACAGCTCCTGCTCGACTATTTTCCTAGATGATAGCACAGTCAGTCAACCAAACCTCAAGTATACAATTAAATGGTGGGTATATGCATTTTTCCTTCACTGAATGCCTTTTCTGTTCCTTAACCTGCTGGCTAACTGTTTGTTTGTGGGATCTGTGAGTGGTAAGATTGGGGAGGGGGAGGACATTGGCAGGGAGTCTTTTAAAAATGTGATTGTGGAGTTAAAATGTGAAAGTCTTAAAAATATGTGTATTACCATTTACAAAAAAAGACCAAAATTTTCAATGACTTGAAATTGTAAGTTAAGCATAGTTTTGTTTTTGTGCATGCTTTCTACCTTCCCACTTTGTATGGACTCCATCCCAGCCTAACTCTGCTTGAATTTTACTGTCAGAATGTGATGGGTCCCACTTTGACTTGGGGCTGCAGTAGAGAGCAGGCGTGGCACCATGGAAGTGTGCTTGTCTGGAGCAAGGACAGCAGGCTTCTGACCTTGGCTCCCTTCCCAGCAGGGAGGGTGGGAATGAAGACCCTTTGCTTTGGGCTTCTGCTGTAAAGTGGGGTTTAAGGGAGAAAGGGGAGTCTTTGGATTAAAATTTTTCCCTTTGGGCTTCAGCTCCCTTATTTTAAAGTGGGAGGTGGGAGGGCCAGAACGCTGGTTTTCCCTGAAGTGTGCCCCTCAGCATTGTAGTAGAAAGCCTTGACTGAGGTTACAGAGACCCATTTGCTGGGGATCTGGTCTAGGCTTAACTGTGAAAAACCTGGGGTATTTTGCCTCTGTGCTCATTTAGGGAGAATCCACGTTTAACAGCTCACTGTGCCATCCTGTGCAGTGAGTGTTTGCTTTCTAAATAAGATGCTTTCTGTTCCATTGGGCCAGGCCTCCAGGTCTAGAAACCCTTTCCTGCACATGCCCATATGTGACAGTGTTAGGCCTGCCAGGCAGTGGAGACAGGGATGGTCTTCTATGGACAGTGTCCCCTCAAGGGAGAGGGTGGGAGTTGGGCCCACCTGGAGAGTTGGGTGGGTTGCATGTCTCCTGTGGGTTGCATGTCTCAAAGACCTAAATGGGAACGTAGATTCTTCCTTTGTTCCATTGGTGATAGAGGGTATAGTGGTGACCAGTGGGCATCACCGCATGGTGGACAATCACAGCTAGGGGACTGTGTGTGCCCTCGCTCCACTGTTCTGCCCTTGGTCAAGCCACTCTGCCCTGGGAGCTTCATGCCAGGAATGAGAGGTGCTAGGGGGGTGGGAGCCTGGAGACCTGGTAGCACCCACTCCAGCCCTGGAGCCCAGCCTCCGTGGGGTCTGAGACCTGCCTTCCAGGGCCAGTGGGTTTCCTGGGCCTCTGACTCTGTGGCTCCGCACTTCCCCTGGGGCTGACTTCACGCTGCCCCTGGTTGTGACACAGACACTCGGGGGCCCAGCAGGAAATCTGGGTGACAGTTGGATACTCCGGTATTGAGTCTGGGAGGGGCCAGCTCCAAAGTCACGTGTGTGGTTTGTGCATCAGCAGTTTTAGCCATACTGCACCTGCGAGGTCCTTACAGGGATCTGGTGATCCCGGTCACCAGATCCGGGATCTGGATTGTCAGCCCCTCCAGGAGGGTTTCGTGGGTAGCCAAGGCTGAGGACCCCGGAGGTCTGTGGACCTCTACCTTCCAGTTCCCTTGAAGGTGTCACCTGTGGTTAATACCACGAGGAAGAGAAGGGTCTCCCACACAAAGGGTGGAACATCCAACCTGACACCCTCAGTCTCATTAGGTTGTGACTTGTATCTGCAAAAAAAAGTGAAAACTTAACCTGTCTTAAGAACTACCACAGATGCTGGATTCTTCTAGAAAACATATCACATCAACTTGGTCTCTCCTCGTTGTAAACACTGACAACTGGTATATGGTATCAGTTTGTCTCATTATTGTGATGTTGATTATGTGCTTAAGGGGGTCACCAGAGAGCCCCAGGTAGAGTTCCCTGTGCTGTACACGCTAACACCCTCTTACTGAGATGCCCATAGTTCCCCACTGGTGGGTTTTCTTCTTGTTGCAACAAGCAATGAAACTACCCACGGAGTCAGATGAAGAAGGACATGAAGACGTCAAGCCCTGAGCCTTTGGAGTGGGAGCACTGACTCCAGGACCCTGGACTGCTGACCCCGGGGAGTGTCAGACAGCGAGAACTCACAGAGGAAACCACCTGAACACAAGAGCCGGCGTCACGCAGCCGCCAGTAGCACCCTGTGGAGTATCAGACAGCGAGACTCACACAGAGGAAACCACCTGAATGCAAGAGCCGGCGTCACGCAGCCGCCAGTAGCACCCTGTGCAGGACGCCCCATCTAAACAACAAACAAAACAAAAATACACACTCAGTCATCAGCAGACAGGACTACCACCTCGCTCAGCCTTGCCCATCAGAGGAAAAACAAACAAAAGCTCACCACAAGTCTCACCCTATATGAAGCTTACACAAACCACTGTACCAGCCTTAGGAGGGCAGAAACCAAAAGGAAGAAAGAATTCAACCTTGAAGCCAGGGAAAAGGAGACCTCAAACACAATAAGTTTAAAAAAAAAAATAATGAAAAGGCAGAGAAATGCTACACAGATGAAGGACCAAATTAGAAACACAGAAGTCCAAATAAATGAAGAGGAAATAGGCAAACTACCTGAAAAAGAATTCAGAATAATGATAGTAAAGATGATCAAAAACCTTGAAATCAAAATGGGGAAAATGCAAGAATCAGTTAACAAAGACCTTGAAGAATTAAAGAATAAACCTACAGAGACAACACAATTATTGAAATTAAAAATACTCTTGAAGGAATTTGAAGCAGAAGAACAAATCAGTGAGCTGGAAGATAAAATGGTGGAAATAACTTCTGAAGAGCAGAATAAAATAAAAAGAATGAAAAGAACTGAGGATAGCCTTAGAGACCTCTGGGACAATATCAAAAGCACAAACATTCGAATTATAGGGGTCCTAGAAGAAGACGAGAAAAAGAAAGGCTGTGAGAAAATTTTTGAAGAGATTATAGTTGAAATTTCCTCAAGATGGAAAAGGAAATCATCAAATCAAGTCCAAGAGGCACAGAGAGTCCCATGTAGGGTAAACCCAAGGAGAAACATGCTAAGACACATACTCATCAAACTAACAAAGGCTAAACACAAAGAAAGAATACTAAAAGCAGCAAGGGAAAAGCAACAAGTCACGTACAAGGGAAACCCCATACATTTAACAGCTGGATCTTTCAGCAGAAACTCTGCCGAAAAGAGCAGAGTTCTGAAAGGCCAGAAGGGAATGGCGGGCTCTATTTGAACTGCTGAAAGGGGAGAATCTACAACCAAGATTACTGTACCTGGCAAGGATCTCATCCAGAATTTATAGAGAAATAAAAAGCTTTTCAGACAAGCAAAAGTTAAGAGAATTCAGTACCATGAAACCAGCTTTACAACAAATGTTAAAGGGACTTACATAGTCAAGAAATACAAGAGAAGGAACAAGATCTACAAAGTCAACCCCAAACAATTAAGAAAATGGCAATAGGAACATATATATCAATAATTACTTTAAATGTAAATGAATTAAATGATCCAACCAAAAGACACACACTGGCTAAATGGATACAAAAACAAGACCCATATATATGCTGTCTACAAGAAACCCACTTCAGACCTCAAGCCACATAAGACTGAAAGTGAGAGGATGGAAAAATATATTCCATGAAAATAGGAAGCAAAAGAAACCTGCAGTAGCAGTTCTCACATCAGACAAAAGAGACCTTAAAATAAAGAAGATCACAAGAGATAAGGACAGATGCTATAATGATCAGGGGATCAATCCAAGAGGATGACATAACAATTGTAAATATCTATGCACCCAACATAGGAGCACCTCAATACATAAGACAAACACTAACAGATACAAAAGGAGAAATTGACAGTAACACAATAATAGTAGGAGACCGCACTCACACCATTGGACACATCATCAAAACAGAATATTAATAAGGAAACACAAGTCTTAAATGATATATTAGATGAGGTGGATCTCATTGATATCTTTAGGACATTCCATCTAAATGCAGAAGAATACACCTTCTCAAGTGCACATGGAACATTCTCCAGGATAGACCACATCTTGGGTCACAAATCAAACCTCATTAAATTTAAGAAAATTGAGATTGTATCAAGCATCTTCTCCAACCGTGACGCTATGAGACTAGATATCAATTATAAGAAAAAAAAAAAACTAAGAAACACAAACACATGGAGATTAAACAACACATTTCTAAATAACCAACAGGTTACTTAAGAAATAAAAAGGGAAATAAAAAAACTTCTAGAAACAAATGACAATGAAAACATGACAACTCAAAACCTATGGGATGCAGCAAAAGCAGTTCTAAGAGGGAAGTTTATAACAATGCAATCCTACCTCAAGAAACAAGAGAAACATTGAATAGACAACCTAACTTTACACCTAAAACAACAGGAAAAAGAACAACAAAAAAAACCCCAAAATTAGTAGAAGGAGAGCAATGATAAAGATCTGAGCAGAAATAAGTGAAAAAGAAATGAAAGAAACAATAGTAAAGATTAATAAAATGAAAAGCTGTTTCATTAAGAAGATAAACAAACTTGACAGACCCTTTAGCCAGACTCATCAAGAAATCATCAAATCAACAAAATTAGAAATGAAAAGGAGATTACAACAGACAGTGCAGGAATACAAAGGATTATAAGAGACGAGACTACTATGAACAACTATATGGCAATAAAATGGATAACCTGGAAAAAATGGACAGGTTCTTAGAAAAGTTCAATCTTCCAGGAAGAAATAGAAATTATGAACAACCCAGTTATAAGCACGGAAATTGAAACTGTGATCAAAAATCTCCCCAAAAGCAAAAGCCTAGGACCAGATGGCTTCACAGGAGAGTTCTGTCAGACATTTAGAGAAGAGCTAATGCCTATCCTTCTAAAACTCTTACACAATATTGCAGAGGAAGGAACACTTCCAAACTCATTCTACAAGGCCACTATCACCCTGATACCAACACCAGACAAAGACAACACAAAAAAGAAAACCTTATTACCAAATTCAGACTTAAATTGAAGAAAGTAGGGAAAACCACTAGACCATTCAGTTATGACCTAAATCAAATCCCTTACGATTATACAGTG